AAGTGGAAATTCTATCTCTTATCTCCTTCACGATTTGAATCTCCTCCTATATCTCATCTTCCTCAAACTTTGAAACTCTTATCATTATCTTTGATCTCTATCTTGAAGAGATATTCTTGGAATCTCGTTTGTGATTTCTTGCCTATAAAAAGGAGTCCCTAGTCCTCATTTTAAACACACCAAAATTACTTGCTTAGTGCATTTGGAAGAACCAAAGAACTTCCCCTGCTTTGTGCCATTTTCTTCAGTTTTCAGCTTCTGCCTTTGTGGTCTTCTGCCTTCGTGGTTATCTGCCTTTGTGTTGCAAATTCCTACTTCAAGAGTTTCCAATTTGGTGTTGCCTTTGTGGTGTTGGAACTATTTTCTGAGCCTAAAGATAAAGGGGATTATTAGTTCTTCATTTAGTTTCTTTTTTCATTTGATTTCCTGTAGTTTTTCATTAATTCTTTACTAATGCATTTGATTTGTTCAATTGTAGGTTAAATTAATGTCACAGTATCAATCTTCACTTTAATTAGTAGGTCCGAAAAGGGATGTTCTTTATCTGTACTAAAGCATACATCTCTCTTGCTGTGGTAGTCTTGGGTATCAAATACGTCAAAAGAGTCAATGCAATTGTCTCGCCTTCTTTTAGTAAAATTGAACCTTTGTTCGCAAAACATAGTAATTTGAAGTCACAAAGCTATGCACTTAGGGCATGTGCGCCTAGCTTTGTTTTATGTGCACGAACACCTTCGTGATGCAGAAGATGCATTTGGGCATAGATATGAAGATATTGATGACGGTTTTGACATCCCGAATAGTGGTTTTGGTCCTATACTAGCATATTCCAAAGATGAAAACGAAGATAGTGATTAAGAGCATACGAAGTTTATGACTCGGCTTGGGAATATGAAAAGGACTCATGAAATATAAAGATGAATTTTTTAATAATTTTTTTTATTTTTTAACTCCTTAGCTCTAAGTCTCATTGGTTAGATGCCAGGTCATATGCCCCCTCCCAAGTTTGTATCCTAGTATTATTTTCGTATTAATTAAGATTCTGCCTGCAAGATGGGTTTGATTAAAAACGAGAGTCACGTACCTGGTCAGGTCTGGAATCAACATCCATTTCAGTAAGCCAAATGGGCAGATTTGCAGAAGAAAGTTGATCGAGTGAAGCTCTAATGTAAGGAAGATTTGGAACTGTAAAATGACCCTCTAATCCAATTCCCAAAGGACCGTTATAACCTTCTTCTCTAATTTGACTGATTTTTGCTAAATACTTAGCTGGTGAGGCTAGACCTTCACTTTCCTCAATCGTGTTAAAATCATTCAGAAATGGAATTGTGTTCCCATCAATCTGGTTCGCCTTCTCGTAGAATATAGTTGATGCGTTTGCTCCAAATTTGTCCTCAAAGAACGAGTAATGCAAATTTTCATTCACAACATCCCAATGGATCATCTGCCCCAGGTATCTACTCATTACATAATTAATCCTGTGATCTGTAACAACTCGTAGGTCATCTGTTGAAAGTCCCCCCACCCAATTAGGTTGGAGTTTCGGATTATCCCAAAATAAGTTATGACCTCGTACTTTAATGTTGTTTGCCTTTGCAAACTTGAGCATGGCATCAGCGGGACCGTAGTCTTCCTTGCCACGGGAGGGCTCATTCATATACCACTTCAACTCGTTCTCGAAGACCGTGTATCTGAACTTGGGTGTGAACCACTTTTCGTACGCAGTATTGTCTAGGATGAGCGGGTTCATCGTGCAACCCAAGGGGAAACCTGGAAGATTTTGTTTAATGGTGATTGTGGCATTGGCTAATGCTTTGCCTTGTTGATCGACAGCTTGGAATTTCACCTTGCTCTTGTGAACCTGGGAATTTTTTTATTTTATTTTTGGTGAAATTAGAGGGTAGTGAATGGTGATTCAAACTAACAACACACTGGCTTACCTTTTCAATGTTTTGATCTTGGTGAGACTTCCATTCTTCATGTGTAAATGGTTGCAACGAAATACTATCCGCCATAATATGAATTGATGTATCTGTGAGTGTTATGCCCTAGGTCCAATCAACTTTGGACATAAACACTTTGAATATATATAATCAATGCATATGTATGGCAATATCTATTATTTAATTGAATTAATATTCTAATAAATTAAATAATAGAATCCGTAGATTCAAGTCTTGGTGATTTGTTAATCACAAGGAGTTGTGATTGTGAGATACAAATTACATATGACTGAATCTTAAATCGTCCGTGGTCGAGGTAATAACGAGATACGGATATCGTTATTACGGATAGACTATCGCGTGTGGCATTCTTACTTGTGAAGTAAGTAGCTGATCTCACAAGCTAAAGTGTGGTGACACTTGAATGAACACGTGGATGTTTTGTTATAGAACAAAACATTGGAGACCC